CACAAAGAAATGTGCAGCATTTTGTCCAAGCAATAATAAAAGGACACATTTAATTTATAATTTGTCTTAAATCTCATCGTTTAGAATCGTGAATCGATTAGAATTGAGAAATCAAAATCGTGAATCGAATCGTGAGTTGAGTGAATCGTTACATCCCTAATGTTTGGGCATAAAAAAGATCTTCAAACTTACAAATCTCAAAGTCCACTCCAAAGGGAGATATTTCGTTTTATGAAACCGTTTTTATAATAAATTGCTGACAGTACAATACTGGACAATGACGTAATCTGCAGAATTTACACTTCAATTATGAGACTACAGTGTTTCCCATACATTGAGTGCGGGTGTTTTTATATCACTGTATTTCTGAAGGAAACCGACTGTCTTCAGAAAATGGGATGTCATTTTCATTTAATCTTGCATGTAATGTCTGATAAAGCAGTGTTTTTTTGAGTGGAGCGCTGCTTTGTGTACAGCCGTTACCGGGGAAACCTAGATCTCTACCACTCCAACAGCGCCTCCTGCTGGCAGAGAATGAGTTTGCATACAAAGTATACTTATGTAGTTACTTGAAAGAATTAAAAGAACCGTTTCCTTGTATCATTAACTTGTTGAGGTTGATATAGGATTTAGAAAGTAATTAGTAATAAGTAATTAAATACTTTTTGGAGAGAGTCATTTGTACAGTAATCTAATTACACTGTTGAAGATGTAATTAATAACTAGTAATTAAATACTTTTTTAGAGTAACTTACCCAACACTGGTGGCATGACAGCCATAATTAGGGGATAACTGTTTCTCCAACCCCACCCATGAAACTGTGTGCTGTGTTATGTCATTGTATATACAAGTGTGTTTATACAAAATTGGATCATTAAAAATCTTACATGACATCATTTGATTACTTATTTTAAAAGTTTAAGGCTTTATTCATTAGTGAAAAGCCACAATTTTTTGTGCAAACAAATTCAAAGCGAGACCAAATTACTGTACAAAAAAGAAATAAATAAAATACGGTCATAAAATATCAGAATTTTGCTAAATTAAATGCCTGACCTAGATAATGTGATAATTAGTTCAGGCAGCATGACATGGACCAGTTCTGTTTGTTTTAACAAAATATTAATTTGTCAAGTATTACAATATAATTGACAGCCCTAGTTTCATATTATCAGTCACTCAAGGCAGTTTATTTAATGACTGATTTAACATCGATACTGAGGTACCAGAGGCTTGTACTGTACTAAAGCCAAATTTCTGGTATCGATCCAACCCCTAGTGTCTCATGATGATGACATCACCTGTCACGGCAGATCCCTCTCCCACTCAGAGATAATGGCACAGATATGCTGATCCTGCACTAGATGTGCTGATGAGATTAAACACATGCCGACATATCTAAAAATAGCTGGACTGAGTCAAAGCACACGGCAGCAGGAAACAGCCCGACAATTCTGCACAATGCCGTTTCGCAATATTAAAAACAAGACAGAGAGAGAACATGCATGAAGAAGCATGTTTAAACACGCATATACACACACACTTACAGTTTGAGAACAGCGGATCGCTTGCCAAGCATCATTTTCACAAAGTCCCTGTAGTTGATGGTGTCGCTGCAACCTCCCGTCACCTCCGAGATCATTTTCTTCATCTCCAGATGAGTCTTTGGCACACCCAACTTCTCCATCATTCGCTTCAAGCCCATCATGTCTGGAAACACAAGCAAACTACTACAAACAAACTCTTACCGCTTGACAAGCAGATCCCTAATAAAGATGGGATGCTGACTAGCTGTTCACCAATGAACTAATTAATTAATGATGTCAGAATTTAGCCTGTATATTTGTTGAAGATCTGGTATTAACGCGGTTGAAGGGCTACATAGTACACCGATGTCTTTGGCTGCTGGGTTGTGTTTTAAGTGAGGCATCAAGTTAAAAATTGTCTAACTAGACTAAAAATGTGTCAAGAACCCTACTTTTTGTGTGAGTGTCCCCTAAGAAAAAAAAGTCTGATTTGGTATACATGACACACAAATTGGCCTAATTATACAAGGTCTACAACCATAATGCTGACAGAAATGCATTTAAACTTGCAATGTGCTGACATCCTGAAGATAACACCACATACATGTCATCTATGCTGCAAACCAGCCTCAGGGCTGATACTACAACACCAAGCATACTAACACAGAGTAGAGCTGCACAGCGCTGTCAGTGTTCATCGGTCCACATCATTTGCATTAGTGGAATGATTTTCTCCTCATTGTGTATTCAATTTTTGTGTCCCACATTATACAGTACGCCTCTCTCTCATAAAAACATACTTGCTACCACAAACTACACATTTGTTCAAGTCTCCCATGAATCAGCCTCTGAAGTGCCCTTGTTTCTGTGACACACGCTTCAGCTGTTTGGATTTACAATCAGGAATAAGGACGTATGCCCCTTTCCCCCAACATCTTATGTGGGCAAGCCACTTCCATTTGCATAAAAATGCATGCTATACTTTTCTGAATGAAAAAGAATTGGAAAATAGTACAGGATTTCAACTTGTCTATAATGATTTGATTGCATTGCACTGATTTAACTATAACTATAAAAATAGATTATTATTATTATTTTATCTGTAATATTATTAACATTATTTATCCCCACCTACATTGTGTTCACGCCAGATGCAAAGTTGTTTTAGATGCAGAGTAAGTTAACACATTTTGATGCGTGGTTTCCTTTTTTTTTTTTCCAAATAACATGCAGTGATCAATTATGCACAGTAAGACCAGAAACTTCAGGTTATTCAATTATTATTCAGGTAAGACTGACTTAACTAGCTTAAGTTTTTTCTTGAAACTGTTGCTCAATTTTTATTTCATGCTGTCTTTGATAATGAAACTGTTCTACAATGCAAGTATTCGTTTTTTCCCCATAGCAACATGAATCTTTTAGACGAGCAATGGTTCTCACTAGAGGGCTTCAGCAAACCTCCGGGGTGGCTGTTGGGGGGCTTAAGATGATGACTTAATGATTTCAAGTAGGACAATCAACTTAATGAGCTAACCCCCCCCCCCCTCCCCCATGTGGTATCACCTACACCGGGAGCATGACAAAAGAGCCCTTCCCCAATTACACTCAAAGTCTTAACTACATATGCACACACACACACACACACACACACACACACACACACACACACACACAC